CTGTGTATGTACATATGTAAGTCTATATAAGATACATAAAGGGTTGTGTGTATGTGTGAATAACTGCATATTCATAGATACGTTATATATAATAAATATTTAAAGGTGTGTGTCTGTGTGTGACTATATACTTACAGATTTTGTATGTATTCTATAGTATGTATAAAGTATGTATGCATATATAGGTAAATGTAGATCTGTATATATGTGTGTGAAAGACTATCTACACACATAAATTATATATCTATAAAAAATATGTATGTGCATACACATATAGGTATACAGTATTATTTTTATTTGTGTATATCCCTCTATATACATCCCCATTATATACATGGCTATATATAAAGATGTATGAGTCGATACACAGGTGTATGTATGTTTAAAAGGATAGATGAGGGAGAGGTGTGAGTGACTGTGTATATACATATAATTTTGTGTGTGTTCATGTATAGGTATAATGTATTAATTACATATGTATATCCCCATATCTACATTCCCTATGTATACATACACAGTGAGATATACATTTCTAATAAAGGTAAGCATTATATATACTTTATGTACTCTATATATATGGGGCTCATATATACACACATATATATATTCCCCATATCTATATGGATAAACCTCTATACAAAGATTATGTGTATATTAAATAGGGGGGTGGGGGTGTGTGAGTGTGTCTATGTATACCTATGTATTATATAATATGTGTGTGTGCATATATATGTAGATATACAGTATTATTTATAGATGTATACCCCTCTACATCTCCATAATATACATGGAAATGCATAAAAAGGGAGGTGTGTGTTCACATATAGGTATGATGTTATTATCTATGTATACCCCAATATATATACAGAAAGCGTGCACATGTATTCTATTTAAAGGTAGATAATTATATGTGTATATATACATACATTTATATATAAAGGGGGGTGTGTGTGTGTGTTCTGTTTACCAATAGATAATCATATGTATTTAAAGGGGGGACTATGTACTATAGAGTATGTGTGTGTATACATAGAAAAATGTACATATATAGGTATAATGTATTACATATGGGGCTTGTATATACACACAGACATATATTCCCTGTATCTATACGGATAAATCTCTATATAAAGATTATGTGTATATAAAATGAGGGGGGAGAGACTGTGTATATACACCTATGTATTTTATATAATATGTATGTGTGTGCACATATATATAGGTGTACAGTATTATTTATAGCTGTATATACATCCCCGTTATATACATATGAAGATATATAAAAAGGTGTGTGTGTGTATGTAATTTAAATCTATATAAATAAGGGGTGGGTGTTCATGTATAGGTATGATGTAGTACATATGTATATATACACACACATATATAAAAACAGTAGGGTTGTGTTTGTAGTCTGTTTTAACAGTAGGTAGTTAAGTGTATGTAAAGGGGGGACTGTGTACTAGGTAGTGTATATACACAGTGTCTGTGTGTCTATCAGTAGGTATAATGTATTATATATGCAGCTCCTTATACATAGACACACACATATTCCCCATATCTATATGAATAAATCTTTATATAAAGAATGTGTGTGTATATACCTACATAGTATATATATACTGCGTGTGTATATAAAGTGTGTACACGTAATAGATGTATGCAATACTATTGATATATTAATAGCCCTCTCTATACACCCTCATTATATACATGATATATAAAAGATGTGTGTGTCTAGACACAAAGATATATATATATATATTTTACAAGCTACATAAATAAAAGGTTTTGCGGGGATGTGTTTACGTATAGCTATATTTCCATATATGTATACCGCTTTATATACATTCTCACTTTTCACATTTATATATAAAGGGGTGTGTGTGGGGTGTGTGCAAAGTTTTAGATAATGTAATTATAGACCTGTGTATATACACGCATGCATTTTATATATATATATTTTACAAGCTACATAAATAAAAGGTTTTGCGGGGATGTGTTTACGTATAGCTATATTTCCATATATGTATACCGCTTTATATACATTCTCACTTTTCACATTTATATATAAAGGGGTGTGTGTAAAGTTAGATAATGTGTAATTATAGACACGTGTATATACACACATGCATTTTATATAATACGTACACACATCTGGAGGTATATGGTATTATATATATGTAATGCCCATTTTATATCTATGGCGCGGTACCTCTCTCTCCATAAAGATGTGCATCTCTCTCTACAGCTGTGTATATAAAAACAGCTGTGTAAGTGAAGGGGGCTGTTCCCTGCAGACAGCGGCGTCCCTGAGGCAGCAATCTGTGTGGTCACCACCGCCGCCATCGACGTCCATCGCCCCAACATCTCTTCTGACCTCTTCACAGTGGAGGTGCCGATGCCGCTGGGAAGCACGGGGATGTCTGCCAGCATCACGTCGGGCAGCGCCTCACGCTCGACCGTCAGCTCGGGCACCCAGGCCTGCAGCGAGAGCAGCCAGGCGCTCGGCTCCTCCCCGGACTGCAGCACGGCCTGCGAGGATGCTGCGGAGGCTGGCACCGGCCCGCAGGCTGACATTGCGCCCACTGGGCAGCGGGTGGCCCACGCCGTGGTGCAGGAGCTGCTGTCGTCCCTGTCGGAAGAGGCCTGCCTGGCGCAGAAGGGGCTGGATCCTGTCAACCTGAAGCTGCCCAGCCCAGCGGGCTCAGTGGGGGCCAGCCCCGCTCTGGGCCACCAGCTGAGCATCTACAACCGCAGGAACCAGGACAGCCTCGACGTCTTCCAGCTCAAGCCACTCATCGACTGCCCCCAGGGTGCCCCGATGATTGATGACAAGTATGGGGCGCTGGGGCCCCCGGAGCCACGGCTGGGCAGGGTTCCCGAGGCATAGGGACAGCCTGGGGGAATGGGGACAGCTTTGGGGACACACTCACCCCACTGGGTCACAAAGCTGCCACAGGCAAGGTGGCAGTGCTGGAGACAACCTGTGGTATCTCCTGCAATGGCCACCAGCCTGGGGCCAAGCCAGCATCACCTCTGCCCACCAGTGCCTGTGGCACATGACAGACCTGCCCTGCCACCAGCTCTGGGCCAGCTGGGACCTACGCTGTCCTCTGGGGCACGATGGACCTTCCAGCAGTCTTAGGCCAACATGGACCCACAGTGCCTGGGGGGACAGACAGACTGTGGACCTGTCCTGCCACCTATGGTGGCAGGGAACACCATGGATCCTTCCACCAGTCCAGGGCCAGCACAGGCCCACAGTGCCCAGGGGCAGGACAGAGCTGCTGGACAGCTTGGGCCCAGCCTGCCCCCCGGGCCTGACCCTACCCAGGAGCTGAGCGCAGCTGGGAGGGGAGTGGGGATGGGAATAAACACTGACAAACACTTACTGCCTCCTGCCTTGTATCCCTCTTGCATTCCCTTTCCATCCTTCCCTTCCTTTCTTCCACCCCACCACCACCACTCTCTGCCATCCCATTGCCCACCAAAAAAAAACCAACACTGCAGTGACCCCACCTCTTTCCAGTACAATCCTTTATTTGCCCTTAGTTCCCCACCCCACACCCCAGCTGCAGCGCAGGGCCCATCGCCATTGCTCACTTCTTCTTCAGGAGCTCAGTCATCTCCGCCACCGCCTGCAAACACCAGTGCTGGGGTAGCGCATGCTCTCCCTCTGACACCCCCCTCAAACTCTCCATGTGCAGCACCCAACCCCCAGTTACACTCCCCACCCTCCCGCCCCTCATGCCCAGCACACCACTCCAGGGGCTGTGGGCCACCCCAGCTCACAGCACTCCCCCCCTTCTCTCCTGCTGAATAAAGCCTCTTAATTATTTAAGAGAGCTACATTTCCATTAGGTGGAAATAATGCATTCGTACAAAATTTATTAAGGAAATTGTCTACATGGTGTTTCTTCAGAATGTGACTTTGTCTCTGGCTTATGAAAAGGCCCGTGCTCACCGCTGAGCCAGCGGGCATTAGTTCAGGAATGGCATTAAGTGCTGGCAGAGTTTCTGCCCACGCCTCTCCACAGAGCCACTACAAGCTCCCGCCAGTCACACGTGTGGACGTGCGCACCGGCAGCTCGCACATGCAAGCCGTAGGCCCTTGGACATGGGCTAGCTCACAGCTCCGCTTTCCCAGGAAGAAACTACGGGTTCCTCATGGGTGGCAGCAAGGCAGCAAGCCCAGGCAAAAATTTGGAACTCCTCCTGCCAACGCTGTACTTTCATACTTTGTAAAGCTTAAAAATACATGTAAGCACCTATGTGCAGTTATTTCTCAAAATGGTTCCTATTCAGGAAACTAGACTAGAGGCAGGCTGGCTGACACCCACCCACCACACAGGATAGCTTCTATTGCAGGGATTGAGTTTTGAGCATGAAAATAATGAAATCGTAAAGCAAATTCTTCAACAAAACAACCCAAAGCAAACACCCTCACACAGACATCTTTCTTTAACACCTGCTAGATTCTATTATCTAAGCTATCATTAGATCCCTGAAACAGTAATGCCGGGCATCTCCAAGTTTAGCCTCACCTGAAATAAGTCTGCCACCAGTCCATAGTCTGCCACTTGGAAAATTGGAGCTTCTGGATCCTTGTTAATAGCAACAATGGTCTGCAAGCAACAGTAAAGCACCAGGTGAATATGAAGATATAGATATAGATTAACCTCTAGGGCCGGATTTACAGGGACAGGCCTTATCTACGAAACATGGGCTAAATTCTCTCCAAGCCCTTAGAAGCAGAAGATACGGATCGCAGCATTTAACAAACATTTTTCCTTTTCACCTCAAAAACAAGCAAACACCCCCTCCCTGCTCACTGCGTACATCAGGGCTGTCCTTCCCTGTTGAAAAAGAGTCTAGGAAAAAAATTACCACAAAAGATTATCTGCAAGATCTAAGCCGTACCGTTACAGAAATACCTGAGAGGCAGCATTTCTAACAGGTATACTAAAGCCACGCCTAAAGGCCTCTGTACTTACTATGGGACATATCGTTTAGTTTGTCACACCGTAGAAAAACGCACATGATCGAAATCCCTACATGACGGTCCAGAAAATGTCTGTCTTGGTTTAAACTCTGCTATACAGGTAAATCGTTCTGTAAATGTCCGTGAGCTTCCAGCAAAATAAGCATGGGTGTCCACACCAAAATCTACAACAGGCTGGGGAGCACTCCATGAAGGAGCGGGGGGGGAAACAAACTGACAACAGCTCATAAAACGAGCCTTACACCAAGCAGGGATCTAAACCACAGCACTCCGATGCTGCCCTTCCACCTACACGCTGCCAGTGCGAACTCTGATTCGAGGCAACAGGCCTCCTCGGGACAGCTCTAACCCAACCGTTCTTTGATACACTTACCTGTCCTTCCCAGGTAGCCACAGATCATGTGTCTCTGTTTTACTCCCTCCGCTGAATGTACTTGTCCAACAAAACTAATGGCTCAGTAGCGTATGCCCAGTGGCAGTAACTCAACGATACAAGTTTGCAAATCCTGTGTTTTTAGGCCCACAGAAATGTTTTTTTCTTCACAGGTCATTTATATCCTGTGACTCACGATAAAGAAGGACCACATCATATGTGCAAGAAGGAAGTACCTACAGCAGAGCGCTGCTGCCGCCCTCTTGCCAGCTCATAAGCAAAGACCTGCAAGTATTCCAGTAATGCTTCCCCTGAAATATTTTTCCCAAAGTTTTATTGTTTTTATTCCAGTTACCCCATTTGCAAATGCAAGCCTCCACTGACAATTCTACAGCGCAGGAAGCAAAACCCAGGCTGTGATACCCGAGGATATTCGCTCAATAAAGACTTTCTCTAACTACTCTGAGGCCCTACCATGCTTTGCAGAACCTATCAGTACTTAAAGGGGGCTCATAAAAAAGATGGGGACAAACTTTTTAGCAGGGCCTGTTGCGACAGGACAAGGGGGAATGGCTTTAAACTAAAAGGGGGTAGATTTAGACTTGATATAAGGAAGAAATGTTTTACGCTGAGGGTGGTGAAACACTGGCCCAGGGCCCTTCCAACCCAAACTATTCTACAATTCTATAACCGTTCACAGGGGCATGAGGCCACAGGGGTGACACACGCTGAGGGCCAGCTGAGGCCAGCAGATAGTGACACCTTGAGGGCTGCCGGCTCTGTCCTTACCACAAAAATAATTAACACCAGTTGCTTGCAAAACCGTCTCAAGCGTTAGTTTGGCAGCCTAGTCCTTCCTGTCTCCATTAGCTGAAGTAACTTTTTAGTGAGGTCTGGTTCTCTACCTCATCGCTAAATCAGACTTTCCATGGTAAGAAGCAAAAGCAGCACCTTGCTTGCAACAGAACTTTGCAAGTTAAGTCTCTTAGAAAGAAAAGATGCTGTAACTACCTCATGAGGGAATTAAAAAAGGAAAGAAAGCAATGACGACTCTCCAGGTCTCCTCAAAAGCTGCATTTTCTACCTTGCTGTAAAAGGGCAAATAAATTACACCTTTCACTTGGTAGAAAGCATCTGCCGACTTTGGAAAACGTATTCTGAAGCGTACGAGTTCACAATGCCAGGTAATTCACAGCGCCAAGGGAAGATGGGGGACACTCCAGAGAGTTCCCATGGCTGCATAATGCTTTATGTTTGTAAAAATTGGATCTTTTCAGTAACTACAACACCTATACACTTTGGCTGAAAGGAAAGCAGAACACATTTCAAACACAAACAAGTAAAACTGGATTTTACAATACACACGTTTGTTTACACTAGAAAAACTATGATATATGGGAGAAATGAAACTTAAGTATGTAAAACTGGATTTTACAATACACGTGTTTGTTTACACTAGAAAAACTGATATATGGGAGAAATGAAACTTAAGTATGCATCTTGTATCGACAAATTTAATCTGTCCTTATTTCCTATAAAATAATGCCTCAAAATATCAAACGTGGCATTGGAAAAGCCAAAAAAGCAGAGGTTTTGCTGTTACAGTACAGGACAATATTGCTGCTCAATATTTTTATATCAAAGGAAATTCTGGCACTTAAAGTAATAGGCTCCCCGTACTGCGGGGAGTCTTAACTGAGATAAGGCAGGAGATAAATACAAACAGGGTCAGATCAAGTTTTAAGCAGCTTTAAATACACAGTTCTCAGTCAACGGCTGATACTAATCCCACCCGCCCATCCTCTCCCTCACCCAAAAGCACAGTTGGAGACTAAACGCCTCGAAACAAAGACACTCTTAATACTGTGGCCCATCAGCTACTAGCAGAGTCCAGAGGGAGCCGAGGACGACCGTGGTAGTACCGCACCAGTGCTGCTCTCGCAGGCTCTCCCGCTGTCTGACTGTCCCTGTTGTCTCCCCGTTGCTGTGCTGAGTAGGAGATACTACGGCAATGCTGTTCCACTAAGACCAGTGAGAGTACACTGCGCTACAGATGCTATTATTCACTTCTCAATAGCGACCCTCATCCCTGCCCATCACTCATCCTTAATTTCTAATTTCGGTTGGTTTTTCTCCACTGTGTTGACTAATGCTAGCACCACTTGAGTCCCTGATTTTAGAAGACTGAGGCCCCAAAAAGGGTCCTGTATCCCAAATCCAGCTTACATGATTTTCCAAAAAAATTATTTAAATAATACTTGCAAAAAGAACTAAATTGTAAGAAAGCACAGCTCATCCTACCACGCAGGCTGGCTTGTGAGGACAATTACCAGTCACATAAACTCACTAGTCCGCCACTGGTTAAACACAAGGATCTGCCTGTAAAGTTTTGCAAACCGTTTCCTCAGTTTGATAAGCTAGTCAGAGTTCTGGTTTGGTTTCTGCCAGAAAGCGTAAGTTCACTCCCTGGAAACAGAAAAAATATATATATATCCTTTTTCTAAAATGACTTGCG